ATTTTCCAGGCTCACTTCTAACATTTGTAGAGCTGTGGCAGTAACACAAATGGAAATCCACATACTGTGTGTCAGAGAGGTCGAAAATTATTATTCAAGCCAACTGTTAGTTCTTCTTTCTCACTCTGATAAATCTTTGTAATGACCTAGAATAGTAAATTTAAATTTAGGATTATTGTGCTTCCTGGAGTGCTGGCCTGGGATGTGGTCCTGAGCCCCATCCATCCAACACCCATTCTTTCACCATCTGGCCTTGGTCTTGCACTGCAGTGGGCCTGGTATACATGATTTTGAGTACCTATAGCCAATGTGTTCAAGATCTGTACCTATCTCCCCGCTATATTTACTTCTGGGTTCCTCCTGAATTCAATTGCATCAGAGCCCTGGATCAAAGCTTAAAGGAACAAGGTGGTCTAGAAAGAGAAATTAAAGCTTGAGTTCCTGAGAGCAAATGAAGAGTCTGACCTCATTGAGAAGGCCACTCACAGAAATAGTTTGCAGGAGCCAGGTGTGGTGGCCCAATCCTGTTATCTCAGTGGTTTGGGGGGGGGGTTGAGGCAGGATGATCAGGAGCTCAAAGTTAGCTTGGTCTGCATGAAACTCTATCAAAAGCCAAAAAAGAAATAGGTCGTAGTAACAGGCAGAGTGAGAGGTAGTGGGTTAAGAGCCACTGAGGTGACTCTAAAGGATTCTTCTTAACTGGGCTGATGATGGCAAATTGTACACTTAGGAAGTGGAGCCATCAGATAGTTACCCAGTCCTTTCCGAAAGACACACTCTGGATGCTGAATTTATCATCTCTTTATTTATTTATTTATTTATTTATTTATTTATTTATTTATCTAGCTTTTTCAAGACAAGGCTTCTCTGTGTAACAGCCCTGGCTGTCCTGGAACTAGCTCTGTAGACCAGGTGAAAGACACACTCTGGATGCTGAATTTATCATCTATTTATTTATTTATTTATTTATTTATTTATCTAGCTTTTTCAAGACAAGGCTTCTCTGTGTAACAGCCCTGGCTGTCCTGGAACTAGCTCTGTAGACCAGGCTGGCCTTGAACTCACAGAGATCCACCTGTCTCTGCCTCCCAAGTGCTGGGACTAAAGGCGTGCACCACCACTGCTGACTATTTACCACCTCATATATCTGACAGTTAGGTTTTCTTTTTCTTACTAAACTTGAACTGATTCTTGTGCATTTGCTGTGGTTTCCCATCTTTGTGACTAAAAGCTTCTTTGCAAGCCACCTTCTTGCCTCAGTTGTACTTCCCTAGCAGCTGTAATGATTGTTCTGGGCACAAATATGGTGACTTCCTGTTAGAAATCACAAGTTTCTGCTCATTGCCTTTAGGAGCAGGTCCTTAGCATGTCATTTAATATTCAGAATCTGTTGTGATCTGACCCCTACTGATCTCTCTGATCTGTCCATGTCTCACTGGCCCCTAACATGAACATTCACAAGTAGTACCATACATACATGAACAACATACACTATCAGAGATGTAACATAAACACAAACTTGCATAACACATACATTCATACGTAACACAGCAACTCACATGCTCTAACAGCCATGTGGAAATATTTACTCACAAACAACATGCCCTCAAAGCATACACGCTATGCAACCCTCACATATCCATGCATGGACTCCATGTATGTCTGTTGCACACACCGACACCGTGCACTCCACATCCACTCATCACTTCACAGACTTATGTACCACACATACTCTCTCACACACATCACATTCAGCCAGTTCTCACTCATGTATCACTAGGATCACCTCTTTATCCACACTGCACTTTCTCCTAGAATATTGCTTTCTGCCTTCATTGTCAGCTGTTGGAATTCCTCCCTAAATATCTGAAATAGTCCAAAGCTTTTTCTTTTTTATGCGTATGGGTGTTTGGCCTGCATATGTGTCTGTGCATGCTTGGTGCCTGAGGATGCCAGAAAAGTGTGTTGGTGACGGGAGTTCAAACAGTTGTAAGCTGCTATGTGGGCTCTGTGAAATGAATCCAGGTCCTCTGCAACAATGCTCTAACTATCGAGCCATTTCTCCAGCCTGGAGTGTTGTGGGCTATTTGATTACACTGTGAACCCCGAGCTTGCTTTTGGGTTCATTAAATAAAAAATCAACGTTGGGTCAGGAGGCTTAGTTAGCAACTAGTTGACAGAAAGTTATCATAGAGAGTCATAGGGTGTCTGTAAGACACTAGAGAGAAGCAAAGGAAGCAGTAGGGAAGGACTACAGCCTCTTAGTACAGTGGTGGAGCAAAATGACGCTCTCTCTCTCTCTCTCTCTCTCTCTCTCTCTCTCTCTCTCTTTTGGAGACCCCAGCAAAGTAAGAAGGTCAACTGGTTGCTAGTCATCCTCTCTGAGCTAGCAGGTTTTGATCCCCACCTTTGGCTCCCAAGTCTTACTGATAAATAGAAAGATAGAGATTTAATTAAAAGCTATATTTGGCAGTAGTGACAAAGCTGGTGCCTATGGGAGAATTCCTGCCAGGCCACAGCCTGAATGGCCTGGTCTCTGCCAGAGAAGCAGGCCAGTAATGGAGCCACGTTAGCTGGCTAATGTAGCAGTAGATTAAAACAGCCTCTGTGTCAACTGAAAAACAACAGGGAAGGATTTAAGATTTAAACCTAAAAGCAAGATATGGTAGTATGCACTTGTAATTCCAGCACTCTAGAGGCTGAAGTAGGGAGGTAACTACTTTGAGGCCAACCTGGGGTACATATGAGTTCAAGACCAGTATGGCTATATAATGAGATTCTGTCTCAAAATCACAAGGGCCAGGGAGATAGCTCCATGGATAAAAGCACTTAATACAAGCATGAAGACCTGGTTTGGGTCACCAGCACCTGTGTAAAAGCTGGACATGGCAGACATGTGTCTATTTAATGAAGATTCCCATGATGAGATCAGAGCCAGAACCTGGAGAATTCCCCATAAACTCATGGGCCAGGTAGCCTATAGTACAGTGGCAGAAACAAGAGGTACCCTGAACTCAACAAGATGAAAAACAAGAACCAATGCCTGCAGTTGTCTCTGACCTCCACACATGTGCCATGGTGTGTGCATGCATGCCCTCACATATAAACACATACACAAATACATATTTAAAAGATGAATTTAGAAAGGAATAAAACCTAAGGCTTGAAGTAGGGAGCCAGAATCTAGCTTCGTAGACTATGGAAATTCTTAGACTTTGCCCCTCCTCCATGCATATTATTGTTGTCACCCTTTTTGCTATCTCAGTCATTAATAACATGACATTTAAAACTGGAGGTACATGTGTGCTTATGACCACTACTAGAGAAATGAAGAGTGTCCACTACAGCCAGGCTTGATGGTAAGAAGCCCAGTGGGTAAGGAGCTGGGGAGGAAGACATAAGGGAATTGAGTAATATCCAGAGGACTTCAGTCTCTTAGTATGAAAGTAGGAGTTCTATACCAGAACTTTCTTTTTGAGACAGTGTCTTGTGTAATCCAGGCTGGCTTTGACATCACTGCTTAGCAGAGAATGACTTAACTTCTATGTTCCTGCTGCTGGCTTGTGTAATCATGCCTAGTTAAGAGTAGGGATCAAACCCAGGGCTCCAGGCATGCTAAGCAAGCACTCTACCAACTGCGCTCCATCCCCACCCTCTGGTGAGACTATTTCCAGGGATTAATTATGCCTCCAGGATCCTCTGAAGCTATCTTCACTTGTAGTGTGGTGTTTGAGTAGTGCTGTAGGTGGATTGGCTGAGGGTGGAGAGGAGAGCTTGAAGCTTGAGCCCGGGAATTGCAGTGATTAACGTGAGTCAGGATGTAGATAACTAACTTGGCTTGGGAACTCAGAAAAAGAGACTAAGAAAAGGGTTATTATTCCCAAATGCTGTGCAGAGGTGGAGAAGGCACTTAGGTGGCACTTAGGATGTTACTCATAACTTTCCAGAACAGCATTGTTGGCATCCATTGCCAAACTATGGAGGTCTAAACCAGCAGAGTAAAGCCCTCCTCTCAAGATGAGAGAGATTTCATGCCTGATCAGAGGAAGCAGGGATGGTAAGATGAAGGTCTGTGACAGAGGGCAGGTCACCGCAGGGGTGGATGGACTGTAAGCACACATGGAAAACCATGGACAGGAAAGAACACAATGTCTAGGACAGGAAGGCCTGTGTAGGGAAGGAGATGGATGCAATAACTATCAGTGTTTCCTCACTTGTATACACCTTGGGAACCTGAATCAGCCATGGCGTCTATAGCTACATCCTGGTATAATCTCCCCGCCTGGTATCTTCAATGCTGACCACTCTTTCTTTCAGCCCTTCCTAATATACCCATCTTGGAGGCCCTTGTCATCTCTTGGTGTCTGAATATCACCTCCCTCTAGCCCCATAGCTTGGGACATCCGTTCAATGGCATTTCTGTGAACACTTGCAACTTCTTTGCTTGCTCTCCTCTCTCACCCTGCTCTGGATATCTCTAGCCCCAGGGCTTCCTTCACACACTAAGAAATTCTGAATCTCAGCTTTCAGTTCTGGTTTTTCTCCTTGGCTTCTGGATATGAGTCTCTTTCTGGCTATCTATCTCTAACTGGAGAGAAATGCAGACAAAGATCATGGGCAAATGGTGAGGGCTGGGAAAGGCTGAAGGCAAGAGAAGACAGGGATATGGAGTCTGAGGATCGGTAGCATTTTGGACTCTGTAGGGAAGAACATTTAGATCCCAGAGCTGGGCAGTTTTCAGTCTCTGATGCTGTTTGGAAGTTAGGTTGAGAGTGAAGAGCTCTTATTGGGTGAGTGGGTATGGGGTCTACTCTTGCCCTTTCACCCTATGGTCCTGTGTATTCATCCTGCCTCCATCCACTGAGGCCAATGTCCTCTATGTTTGCTGTTGTCTAAGCCCTCCCTCCAGTTTCCTCAGACCCCAGCACACTGGCTCTTCTTCCCTCAGCACAGCTTCACCCTTCCCTCCCCACTGTCCTACCCAGGCCTCTTATAGTTACCCTGGTGTTGGGAAGGGCCTGCTGCTGCCTCACCAAGCCCGCTGGTGAACCCGCTGATGCCAAGGCCACCTGCCTGAGTCTTGATCGCAGACTTGAGCTCGTGATTCTCCCGAATGAGCCGTACCAGCTTCTTCAGTTCCTCATTTTCCCGCACCAACCTCTCTATCTGATGCCGAAGCCCCTCATAACTTGTAAGTAGAGACATGCCCCAGGGCAGTGGAGAGGGTGCGGCCCAAGGGAGGGCACTGCACCTGGAGGCTGCCCAGGGCCCCGGGCCTTGCCCGGGCTGGAAAAGGGCATCAGAGTCTGCAAGGCTGGCCCAGTGGGCCCTGGGTATTGTGAGGTCAGAGACTGTGCCCTCTTCCTTGCTCTCTGTTCTAACAGATTCAGCTCTCTGTACTTCTAGGCCTGTGCCTTGCCTTACCTCAGCCTGAAATGTCCTGACAAGGTCTGGCCAATTTTGATTTCAAGTTTGCCTCTTTTGCAAAGTTTCTTTACAAGCTAATTGCTGATTCTGGACTTCCCAGCAGACGAGTCCTACATCACATCACTTGCCTTGCGTCTCTAAGATTAGCCCCTCAATGCTTTCTGCTGGATATACAGTGTTGGTGTTGTACCTCCCTGGAGTCCTCAGAATACCACAAGGGGTGCAAGTTGGTACAGGCATTTGCTGACTATTTGTTGATGAATACTTATTATTCTGGCTTCCTGGGCAGGGTGCCTTTCCTTTGATATAGGGTGTGCCTGGGTTTTATCTATCAGCCATCTCCTAAGGAAGTTCTATCTTGGATGCTGGAACACTGGCCCACAATATCTTCTGACCACAAAAGTGCTACATTTCTTCCCTGGTGATTGGCCCAGGGTCTTCTTTATCCAAGCACCAGGTTCCCCACAGCTTGCAAAAGTTTCCATCCATGACATGGGTCCCCTTAGTCCCAAATCTGTCATGATGCTTCTTTTGCACCCAGATTCCTGCTCCTTGGGTCCTTTCAGCTTGCAAGAGTTTCCATCCATGACATGGGTCCCCTTAGTCCCAAATCTGTCATGATGCTTCTTTTGCACCCAGATTCCTGCTCCTTGGGTCCTTTCATTCTTTCAAGAATCTAAAAAAGATGCAATGGTGATCTGGCAGTACCCTCTGTTACCTCATGATTGCCAGGGTTGGCATGGCTGATCTGGCTGGGTAGGTGAATATCTCATTTCCCCCTCACCGCTCCATGTATGTCACTCCGGAAGATGTCCACTTGGTAGAAGCCAACCAGTCAAAGATAGACAAGCAGCCACACTTCTCTGCTAAGGTTTCCAAATAAGAACCCAAGACAGTCTTCCTCAACTGGTTTCAAGAACTGAGGATGGAATTCTGGCACTCCCTTCTCTTAGTGCTCTCTATAGAGAACTCCATGGGCCTGAACTTGGCAGTCAATGAAGGCTGATCCTCAGGACTTCCACTGGCTCTGTGGTCATCTTCTCTCAAACCTCTCTATGAATTAGGACAGGAAGAGGAAGGTAAAGTCCAGTTCTGGACCAGATTCCAGTGGGCAGACTCTGGTAGAAAGTAAAGATGAGAAAGAGGAGATCAACTAGGGCTGGGCTCAGGCCAAGTTGAATATTCCATCTGGACCTCACAATGGGGGGCCTGCCCCCACCTCTGACACTCCATGCTGTAATCCTGTCACTCTGGCCCAAGGTCTGAAGATGAGTTCTCTTCATTATGCCTTCTAACTTTATAGACTGCGCCTGCTGGACTTCTCTCTAGCACGTGACAACAAGCTTATCATGGTCTTGTCTTTTGAGTTAACGTCATCTGTGATGGCTACGTTGGACCTGTGGGTTTGGTTGGATAGTCTAGGTGTGGTGCCCATGTCTTTGGTCAGAAGCTGGTATAGATATTGTTGTAAAGGTATTTTTTAAGTGTGGTTAACATTTACAAAATTTTCACTTTAAGGAGATCATCTCTAAGCTTATAGGTGGGCCTCATCGAGTCAGTTGATGGACTTATTAGCAAAAAACTGCATCGTAAAAAACAAACAAACAAAAAAACAAAAAACCTTGAAGTCAAAGACCATCCCTATTTCTTTTTGTCCCAGTGCCCCTTGCCTCCGTCTCTGCAGGCATTGTGTTAGGGGCTGGAGACACAGTGCCAGTCATGAACTGACTGATCATAAGGAACACACGAAAACGTTGAGCTACCTCTGTGATAAATGCTAGAAGATCGGATGTTTCCTGTCCTGACCACCTGGTCCCAAATAACCAAATCAGAGGCTGAACATGAATTATAAATGCTTGGTCGATGGCTCAGGCTTGTTATTAGCTAACTGGTCACTTAAATTAACCCCTATTTGTATTTATTCTTTGCCACGTGGCTCACGGCTTTTTCTCTCATTTTTTTACGTGTCCTGCTTGCTCGGCAGCTGGCTGACATCTCCTCACTCTGCTCTTCTTCATCCATCATTCTCAGATTGGCTTTCCTGCCTAACTCTCCTGTTCATCTATTGGCCAGTCAGCTTGTTTATTAAACCAATCATAGATAACATATATTCACACAATGTACAGAAGGGTCATTCCACAGCAGTGTGGGTTAGATACAATTGGATCTGGGCAGCCTTACCTGAGGCAGTGACAGTTGAAATAATGAGTATCAAATGTGGGCATAGTTTTCTAGTAGAAGGAACAGCCCATGCAGAGGCCATGGGGGAGCATGCTATAAGGAAGGTGGACCTATGGATGAGAAGAATGGACCTATGTGTACTAGAGAAGGCTAGAGGGCCCAGGTTGACTTAGAAGAGCTTTAAAAATGGAGTATGGAATGTACTGAAGGGAAAAGAACTACTGGATGGTGTGCAAGAAGGAGGTTATGGAAGCCATCCCAATGAGCAATGAGGGTAGCTTGAAGGTGGATGGTGAAGAAAGTGGCCAGGACTAGGAGATGGCGAGAGGTATTAAATGGAGTGGGCTTAGGGATGATGACAAAGGGATGATGAGGGCAGGGAAGGTCTTGGAGTTTCTGGCATAGGAATGGTGGAATGGTCACTGGTTATACCAACCCAACAAAAGGAAGGTCAAATTTAGAGAGGAAATTCCAGGTTGAGTTAAGATGCGCTACAAGACCCTGGAGATATGTTAATCAAGGTGGGAGTTTCTGTTATGAATCTCAGAGTGGCACACGCTGCATGGGCTGGAAAGATAGATTTTAGAGTCATCAGCTTCTGGAGTGGCAAGTGAAGGCGTTTGAGGGGATGATATCAGCCAGGAACTGGTAATGAATGGGAGGCCCATTGTGCTTCAAGTAACTAGGGGAAGTCTGCAAAAGACAGAGGGGTGAAACCATAGGAATGGGTGGAATACTCTAGGAGTCCTTAATGGATAAGCCACATAACAAGGAAACATTTCAAGGCTATGGAGCAGCAGCAATATTATCTAATGCTTCCCGGAAGTCAGATGAGACAAGATGGGAAAGTATATTAGCTCTGACGTGGAAGTCATGAGGTGGAAGGGTGCTTGGGTGGAGCAATTTGGCTAGCTCCAGATTCACAAGTCTGGCAAGTGAGTGGACAGACAAAGACATGGGGATGCATGCAGCTTTTCTCAGGGTTCGGCTGTGTGAAGGAGTGTGGGGAGAGCTGACTTCCTTCTCTGGTACCTTGTCTTTTTGCAGTCGGGTGCCAGAGTCGACTGTGGTCCTTGGCTCTTAGTCTACAGCCTCTCCATAGAGCTATGATGAAGGAAGAGAATGACCTCAAGGTGCACCCAGACTTTCCCAGAGCATTGAGCCACTCCCTCTGCTTCATTTTCCACTCAGGACTATATGCTCTTTCTATTTTTTTTTTAAAGACTTTTTTATGTGTGTGAATGCAGACAGAGTTGGTGCCCACAGAGGTTAGAGGCAGATTCCCCTGGAGCTGGAGTTGCAGGCAGCTGTGCTGGGATTCAAGCTCAGGTCCTCTTTAAGAGCTGAGTTCTCATGCCGGGCATTGGTGGCACATGCCTTTAATCCCAGCACTCGGGAGGCAGAGGCTGGCAGATCTCTGTGAGTTCGAGGCCAGCCTGGTCTCCAGAGCGAGTGCCAGGATAGGCTCCAAAGCTACACAGAGAAACCCTGTCTCGAAAAACCAAAAAAAAAAAAAAAAAAAGAGCTGAGTTCTCTCTCAGTCCTGCTCTTTCTGCTCTTAATTTCCTCTTCACTACATTTTTTCTTTTTTCTACTTACTTATTTATTTATTTATTTATTTATTTATTTATTTATATTTTATGAGCATCGGTATTTTGCCTGCATGTATGTCTGTGAGAGGGTGTTGGATCCACTGGAATTGGAGTTACAGACAGTTGTGAGCTGCTATATGGGTGCTGAATATTGAACCCGGGTCCTCCGGAAGAGCAATGCTCTTAACTGATGAGTTATCTTTCCAGCCGCTCATTACATTGTTCTTATCGTTAGTTTTATTATGCAGTATTTACAAAGTGTCTTTTGGTATCCAAATCAGTGGGTTTGGAAGTTTGGAGAGTGGGATTTATCTAAAATCTGCTCCCATCCACCTGGATCTTATATTCAGGAAGTGGGTTCTGGGAAGTAGGGGTTGATGGTTGTCCCTGTGCTAGCTTCAGTCTGGCTTGCCTGGGCTCCTGGGCAGTGCCATCTGCAAACAGGTCAGGGTTGTTGACTGAAGGCAGCTGGAGATCCAGCAGAAACTTCCCAAAATCCACTCAAGCTTTTCGTTCCTTCCAGGCTTCTTAGGAATTCACTGGGAACAAATCTCAGTGTTGTCCCTTCTTGAGTGCTGAGTCAGATCTACTCCCTCTGGTTTCCGGGTCACTGGGTTTGCACATTTTGTCCCCATTCAAATTTGCCTTATTAGATTCAGTTCAGCATTCCAGCTTGGCGATCCTTCAGGGAGCTCTGCTCCCCACTTTGGCTTGGAATTTTTGCAGTTTCAGCAAGCTTGTTAAGCCTTTTTTTTTTTTTTAATTTCAAATGACCTGGGGTCTGTCTCAGAGCCTGTCCATACCCCCTCTCACCTTTGGCTTCCCTTTAATTTCAAATGACTTGGGGTCTGTCTCAGAGCCTGTCCATACCCCCTCTCACCTTTGGCTTCCCCTTTCCTCCCCACGGATGGACCATGACATGCTGAGAGGTATCCCCTGGGAAGCTGCCATATACTGTACATGGCCAACACAATGCTAGCAACGCTGGCCATGTGACCCCTTGAT